CAAAACTCACCCAGAGAATTTTGAAGAAAATTAGAGCTAAACCGATCAAGGATTCGAAAAAAAGTGCTCTGACGAAAGCCGCACGCGCTGCTGTGCAAACAAAGAGTAAAAAGTTACTAAAGAGTATGTTAAAGCGTGCAAGGGCAATAATGTCATTTTACATTCTATTTTAAGTTAAAATGGCTAGAAATCAATGACATCACGGACGGTGGCTATTTTTCGATAGCCACCCGTAAAAGTGGCTATGCCACGCTATTTTGACTCTAACTGTTGTACATACAAATACGTAAACAGTCTGATTATACATTTTTATGTAGAAAGTGATGTGCTAGGCTCCTTTTTTCAAAAAATAAGTGAGGACTTTTTCCTTATATATACATCTAGTAACAATTATTTGTATTCGCATTTTATTCCATTAAATATAATCAAATTTTGTTTGTCACTTTATTCGCGTTAAGAAAATTGCTAGAATACAAACGTAGTAATAAATTTCTTTAATTTGTTGAAGTTATCGGTGACAAAATATATAATTTTGAGCACAAGTAATAAATGAAAACAGTTCTGAGAAGCTCCTAAAAAACTAATAACAATCTAACAAGAGTGTTGGATGTAGAAAGAGTAAAAATATAAACTTTACGACTCCTAATTAATACCTTTAATCCACGGTTAACATAAAAAATTTATTACCAAAGTTATAATTGTTACAAAACGTAGCTCAAAGTAATAATATGATACAAGCAAATAGACAAGAATGTAGAGTGAAAGAGAGGAGAGATTCTTATTCCTTCAATGTATTCAAGTGTGTACAATGAGATGTCCAAACCCTCTATTTATAGGATGACATTGAGGTATACAAAGGGATACCATAAACATGGTATTAACTATTGAGATCATAGGGAAAGATCATGGGGAGGTTATGGAGGTGTAGGAGTTACAACTATAATGGTGAGAAGTAGTGGGAGTTATCTACTTAATGGAGAAGAGTAGTGGGAGTAACTTCTTTGGGAGTTATAGACATCCCTACAAAATAATATTTCATAACACTCCCCCTTGGATGTCTATAGATAATGTGCCTCGTTAAAACCTTACTAAGAAAAAACCCTGTGGGAAAAAATCTTAGTGAAGGAGAAAGAGTACACATATCTTGTAATACGCATTATTTGCTGCCTCATTAAAAACCTTGCCAGAAAAACCCAGTGGGATAAAATCTTAGCTAAGGGAAAAAAAGTACAGCGCGTATTTGCCTCCCCCTGATGAAAACATCACTTTATTCTTCGGAGACGACGAATTCCAAGCTTGTATAACATCTTCTCTAATATTGAGATCCACAATGTCTTGTGAAGAAGTTTGTCAAATTATCACTTGAACAAATTTGTTGAAGAACTTTGGTGAATGTCCTTTATTTTGTCTCCTTCGATAGTCCTTCTTTCAATTGATATAAGCAAACAACATTATCTTCAGTATTATTGGAATCTTCTCTTCAAAGTCAAGTCACACGTCTGTTGTGTGTTGAGCCCCTTGCTTTATCAGTTGCTTATCTTGGCATGACTTGAATAAGTATCAACAATTAAATGCCTTGTAAAATGATAATATGGCAGTACTCTCACATGCAAATAGAATGTTTGAATAACGAACTTCAGGAAAATGCCTGCATTTGCATAACCAACAAAATTTTGGCAATATTTGTTAGAATAAACAAATCTACATCAAGTATTCCTTTTGAAATATAATACTAATTGTATTCCAATATCTCCACATTGGAATAAAACTATATCTTGCTAGCATATTGTTATACTCATGGTTCTAGCCAGATATATTAGTATACCAATTGCACTAGACACAAAAATAAATCAAGTACGCAATGATCGCTCTAATCTACATAAGGATCTGCCGAAGATTTATTTAATAAATTTCTTGGGAACCTTAATATGCTTCAGAACAATTTAAATCATTCAAGAATTTTCATTATATGCATATCAAATGTATTGTCAGACCAAAATCTAAAATGACTCCTTTCCCCACAGGAGAACATGTCTTCTAATACCAGGATATTTACGAAAATTTTGTGCCACAAGTCGTCTTTATGTCATTTGACTTGATTTTTCATTTCACTTTCAGGTGTGGGGACTATCCATCCAACTTCACATTTTCCAGGTGAAGTCAATTTCATTGCATATTTTTTATTTGGACAATCATTTATCTGTCCAAATTCCATGACAGATTTGAGCTCAAGATCCTCGTCAATATTGATAATATTGAGCGCTACATTATATTAACAACATCGTCGACGATCATTTTACATCGGTTCCATCATCGCACAATAAAGACATAACTTATCGAGATCTCATTATTTTCAGGTACCTGAGCCTCTCCCATGAGGTCTTATAAAATGTTATGTCATGGTGCTCTTATAAAGCACCTGCCTCCTTATTATGACAATCTTGAGCATTTGCTCCCTCCTTCTTCAAGGAGTTTTATCTTTGGAACCGATTTGCCTATTACGCTTCATGCGTGCCATAAACTCTATCCATCATGGACGTTATTCTATTTGGAGCATTAACAACTGTAATATGACATTTAGCTTTGGGTTAGCAATGTGCCTGGAAATATTTTAGAAATGAACTATCACTTGAACTTCAAGTTCACATTTTCTTGTACGAGGATCTAGATGTATTCATAATAATTCATTTCACGTATAACTTTTTCAGCTCCCCATTTTCTCCCCCTAATGTCGGGATCACCAACATATTTTCCAACCTTCTTTGGGAACCCATCTTTGTGCATTGTGGCAGCACAATTAAATCATATAGTACATCCATATTTTTAGATGGGAATATTTGGTTCCTGATCGTGAACCAATTGTGATGGGGAGAATTTATCATAACTTGTTGGCTAGATGCGTACAAGTGCTGTTGTATATTAAATAATACACCTCATACCAAATTTCTATTTGGGAGTTTTGTTATCATAACAAATGGTTTAGCTATAATTGGAGGCATACAATTTATGCTAAACCAACTTGGATTTAAACCAACATTATCAAGATAAATTATCATAATATATATTCTGAAACTATGGTCTAATAATTTGAGCAAACAACCTTGCAAAAACCAAAGTGCAAGTTGATAACAAACGCACATGTGACCATACAATAGATGCATCTATTAAAATCATATAATAGTAAACGATCCACATGGCAGGTGACTGGGCCCATATATATATCACCTTCTATTCGTTCCAGAAATCAAGGGATTCAGTCCCAACCTTAACTGGTATATCATGAGAATAAGCAGCACAAGAGAATTCTTGAAGAATCTTCTATTTCTCAATATATGCCAATGTGAATTCTCAATTAATTTTCGCATTAATAAACCGGGATGGCCAACCGGTCATGCCAACTGATATTTACTTCAGTAAATATTTAATTTACTATGGCATGTGATTTCATATCATGCTTATACATCTGTAGTACAAATAGAAGAAAAATCGGGTAACCTTCATATTTACCCGGTAAGTTATAGTAATATGAAGATAATCGATCTTCCTTTCATTTATAGTAATGCCAACCACTTTGGCTAATACATTTGAAACTCAAAAAGTATCTTTTGAGACTTACTACCACCAATGCCATGAATAATTTTATTTATTCGGTAGTAACAAATTCGCTCTTCTGGAGCTCTCAATAATTTTGCACTACAAGATCTTTTATAACACCATCCAAGTGGTAAATTTTTTCTCCACAGAGAAAATTATCTTATCATAATAATTGTCATGGTCAAAATCATCATAAGCAAAATCTTTTCTTGCTTTATTTTTGCCATTAATAACTTTTTATAAGGCATGGCAAAATATTTTCAGCTTACCACATGTACACGACCAATGACATTCGTGTAACCACATAGTAATGTTCATGATCTTTCTTTCTCTCAAACCTCCCTTAGAGGTGAATTGTAGTAGTTATTCAACCATGCATAAATACATTCTTGTGCATAATTTGTATCACATATATATTCTCACACTCACTTCAGGAATGAGTCTGCTTATCACAAGTCGCATTCTTTCAAAAAATGGACTATAATCGTCTGAACGTGCCTTATATTTACAGATCAAATTGATATACATTTCCTTCACCTTTGAAAGATTATTTTGAGAACCCTTATTGTTCTCCTTTTTATAATTATCATATTGATGACTATTATTATTTTGGTCTTTGGCACGCCCACGTTCATTAGTCAACCACTTGTCTTCATTTAGATTTATTATGCATCACTATTACATTCACTTCAATAATGGAGCAAATCAAGTGGGACAAGCTTCATACGTTTTCATGAAAAATACATTATTTTTCATTAATAATCATTATATCATCAATATGGTGCATTGGGACTCAAACCCACTGCCTTACCCAGATAAAAGCGTGTTAGTTTATAATGAATTGGGATTCAAACCCAACTCTTATTATCATGGTGCACCAGGCCTTAAACCTGATGTCTTATCCTCATAGTGCGGTGGGACTCGAACCCATCGTCCTACCCTCATTCAATGGCAAATAGGCCAACATACTAGGGCTCACCCTTAAGATTTTAAAACTATTACCTCTTCGTGATTATATCCATAAGTAAACCAAGTTTCAATAATTCATATGCATGTGATAATAACCCGCGGTAATTATCGATTTCCAATTAAGTGATTCATATGAATCAAATAATACGAGATCTCATGCATTAGAGACCAATCAAATAAAATGCTCCAATAGATAATAGCACGAAAATAATTAAACAGAAACTTGCAACTTCTAAGATTCTTATTTTTTCTGGTTTAGGGGAAAATCAGAAATTGAAAATCATTCACACATTCTTTGACTGCTCTGCTCCCCCCCCAAAAAAAAGAGAGACTTCATTTCTTCCACCTTCCCTGTATGAGTAGTGAAGAAGTATAGAGCACTTTAGTTGGTTGTTGACCAACGGAAAGNATTCAACTTTAAGGCATTTCGTTGCACTTTAATCACCCTCGTGAAGAGGCGCACTCCGATACCATTGATGTCCAATAGCTTTTATAGTAATGGCTGGATCTACTACTACCTCGTCCATTGAGTATAACAGAGCAAATGATGGTATAGCAATGAACATAGGGATGATACTAGGAAATATGGTCCGAAGAATCTCGATAGTAGTTCCATGAACAACCCTTTGCGGGATTGGATTTTTTTTATAGTGGAAATGCCATAAAGCGCGACCCAAGATCCATGATACGAAAACCAAAATCAGAATAACGAAGAAAAAGACATCGTGATGTAAGTCTGTTATTCCTTGCATTATAGGTGTTGCTGCGTCTTGAGATCCTAATTGCCATGGTTCCGCTGCATCACAAGGAGCAATTGTGAGGAATAGCCATTCTAGAACAATCATTTGGTTTGGTTCATTCTTTGACTGCTCTGCTCCCCCCAAAAAAAAGAGAGACTTCATTTCTTCCACCTTCCCTGTATGAGTAGTGAAGAAGTATAGAGCACTTTAGTTGGTTGTTGACCAACGGAAAGCATGGAAGAAAAAAAGGAAGAATTTACGCAATTTCTTTTCTAAGAAAGAGATCATAGTGATTGATGGCTCTTTCAATCCGCCGAAATGGAACGCTTTGGCGTGTACCAAAATGGAGAATTTGGGTCAGATTTATAAGCTTACGACCACTGAACAAACTTGGTTGACGAACATAGTTTATGCGCCGCTAATGTAGCGGCTTGTCGAGCATTTGACAAACTCACACCATCCATTTCAAATAGGATTTGTCCCCTGGACACACGAGCAATCCAAACCGTAGGATTTCCCTTTCCTCTTCCCATTCTTACTTCTGTACGGTTTCCCGGTAATAGGGATATCTGCGAGAACTCTTACCCATATCTTACCATTTCTTCGGAATTGTCCGCTNAAACAGGTACCTTACTTTCTTAATACTCCGATATATTACACAAAATAATGGCACTCGAGTGTTAAAGCTCGATACTCTTAGTGCCTGCTCAATGGAAAGGAATGGATTCATCTTTGGTTCTTGGTAGTGGTGGCTCATACTGGCGGAAAACAATTGTAACTACTATTATCAGTTTGTTGTTTCTATATTATTGATACATAATTCAAATTCAAAATTCATAGAATAATTAAAATGATACTCCCTGGACAATATAGATGCAAACTGATTGATATGGCATACGAAAAGCACAGATTTTCACAGGCTCAAACAAATTGATTCAAGGTTGTAGCTCCCATGGAAGGCTTTCATCTCTTATAGAAAATATAAGAAGAATATAGCAATTCGTGCTGATAACGTGTTACAAAACTTAGCTCAAAGTAATAATGTGATACAAGCAAATAGACAAGAATGTAGAGTGAAAGAGAGGAGAGATTCTTATTCCTTCAATGTATTCAAGTGTGTACAATGAGATGTCCAAACCCTCTATTTATAGGATGACATTGAGGTATACAAAGGGATATCATAAACATGGTATTAACTATTGAGATCATGGGGAAAGATCATGGGGAGGTTATGGAGGTGTAGGAGTTACAACTATAATGGTGAGAAGTAGTGGGAATTATCTACTTAATGGAGAAGAGTAGTGGAAGTAACTTCTTTAGAAGTTATAAACATCCACTACAAAATAATATTTCATAACAATAATTGCTTATTCAAAATCTATTCCTTTAACTATAGTTGGAGTGCTAATTGATTAATTTAATCTAATCCATTAAAAGTTAAATGGGTCAAGTGGATCTCCAACTGCCAACTGGGAACTTGAGGAAATAAAGAAAAACTATAATCGGAAAGAGTCGGATACAAATTTCATTCACAATCAGTGCAGGAGGGAGAATATAAGTATCTGATTCATATGAACTAGCATTTTCGATACGGATCATAAAAATATATGCAAAAAATTACTAAAATTTTATTAATAATAGATTAAGACCCAAATCTAAAAATTGTAACAGATTCGGCCTTAAGAACCTAGAAATTTGATCTGTCAAATCAAAATTCAGGATTCGCCTCTGGTCACGATAACACAACCAACATTCACTTTTCTAATGTACCATTTACAGTCAAACCTCTCTATAACAACCTCGTTTGTTTCGATATTTTTTGGGTTTTACAGTGAATGGTTGTTATACACCTATAACAACATCTGACGTTTAAATTTTTTTGATTGTTATAGATAAAAATTATCCAGAAATCAATTATTTTTTTCGTTTTTATGTTACATATTAAAAATAAGATAATTATTAAAATTCAAATCTCAAAAGTTATGCATATTTCACTAGTAAAATATTGAGAAAGCTAATACATTCTTAATAAATTCATAACTAAAAGTATAAAGATTTAAACTCTAAGGCATACTTTTTAATGCTACCTAAAAAATAAAATTGTCCAAGATTGATGGAAGAACTTTGTAATTGTAGCTTGTTTCGTTGATTTCATTCTCTTAGTAGTGATATAATGCTTGAATTGGTGAAACTTCGTGTCCAAATTTTCAGCAGAAAGGTATCCAATATAGCTTTTCTTTGAAGACAATCTAAGAGCTTAACAGTTACTTTTCTATCTCAATATTTTTGAAATTTATCCAATGGAAAGGATATGATGTGCAAATCTTCAAATCTTATATCTTATACAAGATTGAAACTTTGTTTAATAGAAAAGATTAGTGCAAACTTTTAAATTATTATTAGTAACTGTCAATTTATGCATTTGGACAGCCAATTTCACTCTCAATCAAAGATTCCATTGATGGATTCCAGAACCTTTCGCATGAGCTAAGAAAGAAGGAGACTTGATACTCAAAGATGAGAAAATGAATTGTGTTCTTTCTGATATCCCAAAGGGATGTATATATACACGAGGATACAGTCCCACTAACTAACTTCAACTACTCTGACAGCAAGCTACAACTAAGCTACTGTGTACTAACTAACTAATTAACCAACTAAACTAACTAAACTACTCGGAAATATATACAAGAAGGAGGTTGTTAAATACAGTGTTGTCTCAATATCCTCCCCCCCCCCCCCCAAGTTGGAGGTGAGGTCTTCATACCCAACTTGCTCAATATCATAGAATGCTTGACACCGGTAAGGGCTTTAGTGAGGACATCTGCTAACTGAGCACCAGTATCAACATGATGGAGAGAAATCAACTTTTTTTGGAGCTTATTTCGCACAAAAATGGCAATCGGCCTCGATATGTTTGGTACGTTCATGGAAAATATGATTACGAGCTATGTGTAAGGTAGATTGACTGTCATAAAACACTGAGACCGGTTTAGGATAAGGAATAGTGAGCTCATCAAGTAGTCTGCACAACCAAGTTAGCTCTCCGACAACCTTTCTTAAGGACCTATACTCTGCTCCATTGAGGATAAAGAACCTCTAAACCAAGGAAGTAATGCAGCTTTCCCAGGTCTTTTATCTTAAAATGATCATGTAAGAAACATTTGAGTTGAGTGATTTCTAAAGGATCTGTTCTAGTGATGATAACATCATCTACATATACAGCTACATAAATAGAAGAATGCTTTGTTTTCTTGTAAAAGAGTGAGTAATCATTGAGAGAGTATACATAGCCCTTTGAACAAAGAGCCTTAGTCAACTTAGAGTATCACTGTCTACTTCCTTGTTTGAGGCCACATAAGAATTTGTTCAACTTGCACACTAATCTTGGAGAGTTGATCTCTAGTCCTGGTGTAATTTGCGTGTATACTTCCTCATGGAGGTCTCCATGAAGAAATGCATTATTCACATCTAAGTGAGAGATGTGCCAATGCTTCTTTACTGTTGTAGCTATAAGGGCTCTCAATGTTATCATTTTTACCACAGGACTGAAGGTTTCTGTGTAGTCTATGCCGGGCTGCTGAGTATACCCTTTTGTTATTAGCCTAGCTTTGAACCTCTCTACTGTTTCATTAGCTTTTTGCTTTATGTTATATACCCACCTGCGGCCAATGGCCTGCTTGCCACTTGGCAAGGGCACTACATCCCAGGTATGATTTGCATGTAGGGCTTCAAACTCCTGTGTCATTGCTGCTTGCCAAGCAGGGTTAATGACAGCTTCCTCATATGAAGATGGTTCAAAATCATTGCAGGCATTCATCACAAACAACTGACTATCATGGAGTAAAGAATTAGTAGAAATATGACTAATTAAGGAAAACAGAACATTAAGGGAAGTCGAAGTGGCTGGTGGATCAGTAGGTAGAGAAGTAGAGGCTGTTTTCAACTGAGGATGGAATAGACATAGTCCTGCAGATGAGCAGGTAATTTGTGTTCTCTGCCAGACCTTCTGGGCTCTAAAATAGTTGAATCATTTTGTGGAATGTGGTCAAATATATTTTGTGGAAGGATCTCAAGGGAATAAGAGTGTGGTGTCTCTGGAAAGGAGTGTGTTGAGTGATCAGGTGAATGTTGATCATGTGTAACTCCAGGGCTATTTGGACTTAGTGAATTGCATGTTGTGGGCTGAGATGCAGTAGTGTGTAAATCAGAGATGAAAGGTAGTGAGTGAAGAGTTGAGGGAAAAGAACCTGCAACAGGTGACACAACAAAGGGAAATATATTCTCATGGAAAGTTACATCTCTGGATATGTGAATCTTTCTAGTTTGCAAGTTGAGTACCTTGTATCCCTTGGTTCCAAAGGGGTATTCAACAAAGACATGAGGCACAGTTCTGGGATCAAATTTGTCCCTGTGTACCTTGGTATAGTAGGGAAACACAGACACCCAAAACTTTTTAAATGGGAATAGTTTAGTTTCTTTTTGTATAGGAGTTCAAAAGGGCATTTGTTCTTGAGGTTTGTGGTAGGCAGTCTGTTAATGAGGTGAGTGGCTGTTAAGATATATTCACCCCAATATTTTATAGGTAACTTTGATTGAAATAAAAGTAACCTAGCTATTTCAAGAAGGTACCTATGTTTTGTTTCAACCACACCATTCTGTTGTGGTGTGTATGGACAAGTTTTCTGGTGAACAATGCCTTGGTTATGAAAGAAGGAATTTGCTTCTTTACTGGTGAATTCCAAACCATTATCTGACCTTATTGACTTAATGGTCAAGTGAAATTGGGTCTTAACAAAGGAGATGAAGGCTTTAAGAATCTGCAGGGCATTGCTTTTGCTAGACAAAAGATGAGTCCATATGGACTTGCTGTGATCATCAACCATAGTTAAGAAGTACTTGTAATTGTTGTGTGTGGGGACATGATAAGGTCCCCACAGATCAACATGTAGAAGGTCAAAAACTTGTTTGGTGCTATTGGCCTTTTGAGGAATGGGTAACCTAGTTTGTCTGGCCATAGGGCATATAGAACATAGGAAAGGTTGTCTAGTAGAATAGGTACCAGGGATAGTAGTAATGCTTATCATTTTGGCAAAGGGAACATGGCCTAATATATTTTGCCACAATACATTGACATCACTCTTATGAGATAAGAAGGAATCACAGTCAAGTGTTTTATTGCATATGGAATTATTTACACTTGAAAAGGAATGACTCTATGAAGTACTGTGATCACAAACACTAGATGAATGTTTTTGCAAGCAATGTACATCACAAGTATGACATGAGGCAGAAACAAAGGTGAAACAGATGTAGAATCAGCACTAGCATGCTTCTAACAGAGGGAACACAAGAGATACAACCCATCCCTAATCTTACCAATCTCCAGAGGCCTCTTTATTGAAGGGGCCTGCAGTAGATAACAAGTATCAGTAAAGGCTATCAAGGATTTAAGTTGTTGATCTCGTTCAAGTCACATCTCTATTTGAGGTTATGAAATGGTCGATGCAATAGTAATACCAAATAGAGAGTC